ATACAGCTGTGATTCTGACACTTCCTTATTTTCTCTTTATCCACCATGTTTACTTTGTATGCTGCACACACGAATGCTACAGAAGTTGGTTTTTGTTGTTGTGGGTGGTAGGAATATATAAAAACAGTAGTAATCTATATGGGTACTAACAAGTTGAAAAATCTGGTATTGAAGAAKGGATGCTTGGTAGCTGGAGTGGGTGAATACAGAGAAAAATGATTGATGGGATCAGACAGATATAGTAGAAGAAAAAAAGGCAGAAAGTCTCCATAAGGTGTCTGAAGAGGTCAGAATGTGACCAGTATCCATCAGTAAAGCCTAAATGGCAAATACAGCTGCARATAATGAGCATCGGGGGGAGTGTTGGAGGAAAAAAAGAGTCAGGACAGTAGAAACACAGTGTGCCAAAGGATAACACTAAATAAAAAGGAAACTTGGGACTGACAGAGATACTGTAGAGTGTACAGTAGAGAAAAAAGTCAGTGGAAACTCAGCAGATGGCATTCTTCTTGGAGTGACAGACATGACGTTGGAAATAGAGGCAAAAGCAAAATGCCATACGGTTGTGTGATCCGCGCTCTCCTTTTCTCTCTGTCAGCGCCTCTAACATCCTGCTACTCTGGGGAAATCTCTATCATTCTGTCTTGTCTGAATCCCTCCTTCACTGCCTCCAACAGGCTCTTACCATGTCCTTGTAGCTGTTTAAACTGGGATTATTAAATTAATCGTCTTCATCTTGACGAAGGAGAAATTCTCGAACCGGCAGACGAGCTCTCTCTTTCTGGTGGCTGTGCAAGCTGYGGCAACTAAAAGGCTCCCCTGTAAAGATTCTTCAGCGCTGAGTGCATAAGTTTAAATTAACACAATTGGATTCCTCATTTAGAAAATTAAAAACACCATGAGGCTGAGAAAAGGAAAAGTAGGAGTGATGGAGAGAAGGATGATGGGGTGGGGGGTAGCAGAAGAGAAGCAGGATTTGAGCAACAACTTGAGGCTGAAAAAGGTTCATTAAAAAAGAGGCACAATAAAAAAGGACTGTTAAAGCTTTTAAAATGATGGGGGGAGTGGGGGCATAAAACCCTTGTGAGCTTTCCATAAGCAACAGCGTGTGCACACGGTTAAGGGTAGAATGTAGGCACCAAAGAGGCTGAGAGGCGCAGCGACGTTACAATGCTCTATCGTCAGCGCAATCACTCCTGATTGACAGTAAAGTGCTGCAAAGGTAACACAGCTGTGCGGGGCGCATAAGTGTGCATGTCATTCAGCTGGGAAAGTGAAAAATCATACATTAAGTCAAGGATAGATTTGAAAAAAAGGTTGGTTAAAAAAAGATGCCGTTTTAGAGCAGAGAATGGAGAGAYAAACAGAGAGACAGGGAGAGATGAAAGGCTATTCCATCCAGAGATTAGAATGTAATCCATCTTTGAATGGATTCTCGCAGATTACAGCTTGTTCTCCTATTAAATCTGTCAGTCAACTCCAAATAGTGTCAGCGAGACAGGCCGAGTGTGTGTGTGTGTGTGTGTGTGATCTTTATGTGATGGCAGATCTGTGTGTTTTAAGCCTTTTAGACAAATCTCTACAGAGACCTCGAGAGCAGAGGGATTGGCTTGGTGGGGTGGGGGCAGAGCGCACATACATCTATCTCTACGCGCACGCATGCGCTCGCACRGAAACGCATGCAGGAGGAGGAGGCTGGTGTTAGCTGACTGTGTATTAATAGAGTTGTCAGATACGTGTCTGCAGGGTTCACAGCCAACTAACACATATCACACTGAGACCACACATGCAGCAAACAGTCAAAAAGTTTGAGAAAAAGAGAAGGCAAAGAAAAGAGCAAATAAAGAGAGGCTAAAACAAAGGTTTTTCCTCTTTATTTTTTTATTTAGCTGATTGTTTTTTCCTGATCATTGAGGAATGAACGTGGAGGGAGAAGGTGATCGTTTGCTGATCCCTCCCGAGGATACTCGCATGTGCGTGAGAGTGAGGTGAGTGTTTTCGGCGTGTCACTGCGCTCATTAATGCCACATGCTGACAGCTAAGTGTCACCGTCGGTGTACACTTGCCTTTGAATGCCAATAGAAAACCACAAGCCAAGATGTGCCGCAGACTCACACTCGAGGCACACGCGATGCCACACCGCGCCGCCGAGAGCAGCAGATCCAAGAACCGAAGGAAACAGAAACAGACAACTGCAAGCGAGGAAAGGATGGAGAGAGGTGCTCGATTTTAAATATGCATCTCTTCCTTCAGCTGCCAAATCGTCTTCATAGCTTTGGCATCACTTCATACAAGTTGTGGAGGGAAGAGTTTGGAAGATGGGAGAGGGATAGGGGGAAGCAAGTAGCACTAATGGTGAGGCCGAGCAGGAGTTAATCTCTCCAGAGCCCAACGGTTATTTTATTCAGATTAGATGAGTTTTTCAGGCTACAAGACAAACCCCAAAATGACACAATGAGGTAGAATATTGTCAACATTACACTGAATAAAAAACAAGCCTAACTGCAACAACTAAAAAAATATTTTGATCTTGCATAGAAACATCCTGAACCCATAATACAGGTTCAGAATCGTACATAAAATATACTTACTTGTGGTAATTACTTTAATAGGTTTTTAAGTAAAAGGTAGATGCACAAATGTACAAATGCAGATATATACTGTGCATACTATCACAAGTATCGCCACCAACTGGTCATTCGAGAAAATGCAAATTAGAGGCATTTTGATTGGCTTTCATTTCAAAGGAGAAGGCTACAGCTGTCTTTTTCTGCACCACTTCTGTATATAAGAGACATTGAACATGTTAGGTTGATGCAAATAAAAAAGTGACCATGTGAGCCAAAGCAGTCTGATTGAGTCAGTCCTCCACACTCTCATGGCTCTCACTGTAACACACGACTCATCCTACAGACCTTTTTATTCTGCAGTGTGCTTAAGCTTTCAGAGCTCTTCTCACTGTCTGAACACCTGGAGGCCATGCTCTCACCTGCTGCTAATACAATTGCTGCTACTGTTCACATTTCACACTTCAAAAGCCAAACCTTCATCCTAAACTCTGCTGTAGTGTCTAATGCAATTCAGTGTTTTCCAAAGGCAGAAAGCAATGCCCAATTCCAGCAGGACTGCATCTGTTTTTTTTGTCTTGTGAAGAATGACTCCCTGATCAACCAAAGCTCAGTGTTCAGAAAACAATACCCCAACAAAGAAAGGAAGGAATGCATCCTAGCATCAGCAGTTTCACACACAGAATGTATTTAATCAGATACAAATTAAAAGTCACAACAAGACTAAAAAGGGGATTCACACCAAGACAAATATTGAAACTATAATAATTACAGTAATAACCATGTGAGAATGCACACTGGCAAATAATACTGTAATGATGTGCTGTTTTGTAAACAGTGTCACCAAGCATAAACTGTGATGTGAACTCCAGCTGTGCTCCGGCCCAGCTGGAGAGGGAATCCTAAATCCTGCAAATGCACTTGTTAAAAGAGCTCTGTTGTTTACAGGACAAATTTTATTTATACTTTTATATCAGCCTGGATATCAATTTAATGATATCCTGGGGCTCATCAATGAAAAAAAAATATATCAAGAAAAATATTAAAGATCTTTGGCAGAGAAGCAAAGTTAATTTGAAGCATTTTCCTGTGTAGTTTCAAGCTAATATTGTGTTAACTGAATGTTTATTAAGTGGTAGCCTATAAAATGGGGGATTTTAGAGAGAACATGTTTCCTACAAGATTTATTATCTTCCATAAAAGAGGTAATCAAAGATGGCAAACAAGACAATTTTAAAGTATGTGATTTAGCTTTTTATCTATACTCACTATAAAATGGAAGATAAAAAGAAAACAGTGTGAAGCACAGCTTTGGTACTGTCCATCAAGACCATAAAAAAGGACTTTTAATTGAATGCCAGTTGTTTTATTGTTGCCAAAACTTGTATAAATGTGTCCTACAGACAATGTTTGCAATTATAGTTGTTATATTTATGGTGTGGAACAGTGTTTGCATGTGTTTCTGAGATTTTAGCGTTATAAGCATAACTGTTGATCTTGATGTGGACAGTTTGACTTTTATGTGTGCTGTAGAATTTCATGTTTTTATTATCATTAGATAGACTGTATTTTATCTAGTTAGATTAGTTTTAAAGCTGCATTAAAATATTTTCATTGCAAAACATTAGTTTCAGTTTTAACTATCAGTTATATGTAGGTTTTTGTGTTGGTTAAGGTCAGTTAGCTGAGGCGGCCATCTTGAATTAGTAACTTACTTCATGAGTCCCAGCTTTCTTAAGCGTATTCTCCCAGTTCATCTGCAATCTAGCATTGCACTTTATGCCCTGTTCAGTTTGCCTCTGTCTCTTGTCGTTTTGTTGCTTCCATTTGTTTATCAGTTTAGTTTTCTCTTGTTTAGTCGGCATTCTTGGGYTCATCTTGCTTTAAAACCATAAAATTCATTTAGTTACTCTGAGCCATCTGTCACRAGGTTCAAGAGATATTTTGCTGACAGACAGGTAGAGTTTTGGGAACAGATCAGTTCAGAATATCTTAGGAAATCCTCAGCCACTWTCACAACAAATTTAGCTCAATACCTGTAAAATCGACTGCCTTCACCTTCAGCAGTGAGCAAGTAATTAATGCTGTTTATGTTGTGTAGTTTGGATAAACTAAGAATGAAGTTACATTATCACAACAGTAAACTGTGACATGTGTTATCACAGTTGTGATTTTCATTGTTTTTTTTTCCTGCTTCAAATTAGGATTCCTTAAGAAATTTAGGCCGCTGAACATTTTTCACAATTTGTATAAATAAGTGGTGCCAGTGTGACCTTACTTAAGGCCGTTTGCTCATCAGCTCTTAGCTCTGACATTCTGCTGGTATCATAGGGCTGTGGAAATATTTGTTTCTGTTCAGACGTACAGCGAGAGAGAGAAGGATTTGGAAGGCAGAAGGAGAGAAGATAATGAAAATGTAAATGGCTACTTTACCTCTTGACCCATGTTTTGTCTTGCCAACTGTCCGTCAGCCAGAGAGAACAAGATAAAAAAAAAAATTAGGGAAAAGAGTAAAAATGTATAGAAAAAAAGGGAAAATGGGAAAGATACAATTTAGATTTGTATTATTTCCTCAGGATGCTACAAAAAGACCCACTTAACAAGTACATACATATATATGTATATGTATATGTATGTAGATAAGAAAGAAGGAAAATGCAAGCTTTCAGACGACTAAAGACATCTAATGTTTGGGAGAAAAACTGGATGAGAAAGCTTTTTTCCACTGAGAAGCAGAAAAAATAAGTATAAACTGAATGCAAGAAGTGAAGAAATAGATGAAAGGAGGTGAGAGACAGAAGAAAAGAGAAAACACTATGTTATCATGGAGTCCAGAGGAAGACAAACTGTTCRCAACTCATCCATCAACTGCCAGCAACCAAAGTTTCCCGCTCATTCACTTCTTTCCCCTTCTTCTTTATCTTTCCCTGTTTGCCATTCTCCCTGTATTTGTCATAAGTTTGGAGGTGGCAAAACTGTAAACTGTGGGGAAAAGAATGGAAATGACATTTGCTGGCAGAAGATCTACATTCACTGTTGCTTTTATCAATATACTACCTCTTTGTGCTTCCAGTCAGGCCCTCAGACACTCAACTGTTGAATAGTGGAAAGTGTGTTTGTGTGTGTTTCAATCTGCATGTGTGATTGTGTGTGTTTGTAAGTTAAAAAGTGGGAGTGTGAGCCTTAATCTAAAGTGAAGACAGCACCAAACAGCCACAGTGGGAAACGACTAAAGCAGTTWTGGCACAAACTTTGGGAAGAATTGTGAAAAATTATCGTCGAAGAGTAAACAAACATTTCAAAAGTTTTGTCATTTATTTTGGAGATGAGCATATTGTTTATCTGCCTTTTCAGATTAAACCTCAATACTTATTGGCACGAAGTAACCAGAGATAGATAATAGGGTTTAAAAAAAACTACCTTTTAATACGGCCAGATTGGAAATATAATTAAAAGCAGTGAATCATTTTAGGGTTTCACTCTCTTAGATTGTATTTTATTGTACTTTAATGATWACTGAGAAATATTTGCAGTTTAATGTTTAATGATGTAAACGAGAAAGAGAAATGTAAAAAGTGATTAAGATGTTCTGAATTATTTGCTAATCTCTGGTCTAATCAGTGACTCTGAAGTGTGAATGTAACCAATGAATGTGACCGTACACAGCACGGACTGATAACCAGGAAATAAACATGGACATAAATTACAGTAAATTAAAGATGAGATCCCATGAATATATGAAGATAATATCTAAATATATTTTCAATTAATTCTGCCTAAATGAGGAGCTCTACTGGGTAGAAGCTCTAAGTAAGTCTCATTTTCTTTTGAATTAATAARTCCATCAAAGTGGTTTGGGTATGCAGTAAGGATTCTGTCTGGACACCTTCTGAGGAAGGTTGTTGTATATGTTCCACTGGGAGAAGACAATGGGACAGACGGGGCAGAGGGACTCTGGCGATCTGTGCCTAAGCTGTTGGCCCCACTTCCTGGCCTCAGATAAGTGGCTGAAGATGGATAGATAAATGAATTGCCCAGCACTGGCCTACAGTATAATTACCAGAGATAATCAATGCTTATTAAAGCATTCATCAATCAGCTATTGTGTCAAATCAGCATTCCTTATTGACAGTTTGAATGGAAATTTAAAAAATAAATAAACCCTTTTTGGTATATAGTAATGATTTCAATGCACAACACTTTGGACAACTTCAATTGTTTTAAAAATGTTTGAGAAAAAGTTGATTTCATAAATAAATAGAAAATTTGTATATCAGTGCWTGATGTTGAATTTAATAGGTTTATAATTCTTCCTACTACATTTTAGAGATGAAATATTTTGTGTATTTTTTATTTTATCACTGATTTTTTTCTGACTCATCCATCCATCCATCCATCCATCCATCCATCCATCCATCCATCCATCCATCCATCCATCCGCCGCTTGTTTCAGACTTGGGATACAGGGATAGCAGCTTGAGTAAGAAGGCCCAATGCCACCTCTTCCAGCCATTTCAAGATGACTACAAGGCCTTCCCAGGACAGCTGATGTACAAAGTCTTTATAGAGTGTCTTAGGTCTGCAGGGTCTCCTCCTTGTTGGACATGTTGAAACACCTTCCTAGGCAGTAGTTCAGGGGACATCGTTATTACCTTCTGATGCAGAGGTTCAGTGGCTCTASAGTGGAGCTGCAGACATGGCTCATTTCAACCGCCTGTCTGAGATCTCATTCTTTCAGTCACTACCCACAGTTCGACCATCGGTGAGGGTAGGATCATAGACCGACCAGTAAACAGAGCTGTCACAATTGACAGGTACAAAGTGTGCAAGTTTTGCAGAAGCCACATCAGTTTGTCTGTCAATATCATGCTCTATTCTTTCCTTACTCAAGACCAAAACTCAGAGACACCTAAACTCTTCCATTTGAGAAAGCACCTCACTCCCATCCCAGAGATGGAAGTCAAACTTTCTCTGACCGAGGACCCAGATCCTCATCTTAGCTGCTTTACACTCAGCTGTGAACCGCTCCAGTCAGAGCTGGAGCTCACGACACGATGACGCCGAAAGGACCACGTCATCTGCAAATACCTGAGAAGGAATCCTGAGGCCACAGAACYGGATCCCTTCTGCCTGTGGCTGCACTGAGAATTTCTAAAAGCATTTCTAGAATTTTTTTTCTATTTAGCTTGTGCCCTAACTTTTTTTTTTTTTTTGGAATTCTTTGCCTCTTTAATAGAAACACATTTCAGCAAAAATACTTCAACAACACAACAAACTGAGAACATTTAATTACATAGCTCAGAGTGTCAAAGGAAACTGAAACAGACTAATTTCACAAAACAACAATGGCAAGGATATGAGAAAGAAGCCACCTGCCTAACACCTTGAGAAGCTGAATGCAGCTGTGTCTGCAGAAAGTGCGCTATTTAAGACAAACGGTAATCACACAACAAACTATTGATACTGTATTTCGTTGCACTGTGTGAGTAGGAGGCTGACACACTATTCATGATTTTTTTAAAACAGTCCTTACCTCTATTTTAGTGAGCTTTGCACAAAATAACTACACTGCTGAATAACACCTGTGCAAAAATGTCTTTGAATTCTGAACATTAAATGTTTACCTTTCTAATAGAAAAAAGACAGTTTTATACTATATAAATTAAAACTAGAATCTGGAAAGTGAATATGGCAGCATTAACATTTTCAGCATTTTGTTGTTTTACTTAAATATTTCATTTTTGCAATACTGTTTTTCACGCTGAAAATGGAAACCAGTTCTTAAATAATATGAAAAAGAAACTAAAACTTTACAATTACATCTATTTTCCAATCCATGACTCTTTAGCGGGGTCAAGCAGAGAGGAAAATGGACGGATGGATGGTTAAGGTCAGGGTTAGTTAGCATTCCTTCAAGCTTGGTGCACCATTTCTTTCGGATATCTATCTTATCCTTCTTGGCTATAACAATCAAACTTCACACGCTTTGATTCTCTGTTGACTTCGATTCCAAACTCTCACTGGGTCACAGTAAGAATTGCCCAGTTATACTCTTTTTCTGTACTGATACTGCACTTGAGAGAACTGTAAGACCAAAATCAAAGATATTGTACCAATCTAGAAAAAAAAAACTTTTCATCTAGGATTATTGTGTATAATTTAACATTAATTTCTCCATCATCCTGAATATTATCCCTGCCTCTGCTACAGAAAAGCACCTTTTAGAATACTGCAAGCCTTGTGTTTAAATAAGAATATTAATGAGGTGATGCTCAAAGTCTGCTACTTCTACAAACACCAAACAGGTTCATCCATCTAAGATTTACTTATCAGGGGCTGAGAAACATTTAGGGGCCTTTTAGCAAACTCCAAGCAGGATGTTGACAGCTTCTGTCCGATCACTTTACTGAAAAAAAGTTTCATGGGCGATAGGTTTTTCACATCTCTAAGAAAAATAAAATTAAAATTGGTTCTCATTCATAGTGACAATTGGTTTGTTGGTTGTCAGTCTGTTGAATGGTCTATTCAAGATTAATGAATGTGCTTTTCATCTCCTTAAATGTTGCATCATTTCTGAATCTGTGACTCAGTTAATTGCTGTATCACAGTCAGTTCCCTAAACTTTATGGCTTCGTTTTTAATCAGAAATAATCTGGGTTACTTTAGAGATCAGTGGTTCCCAACCAACAGGGGGGACCCATAACCTTGTCTACTCAGAGGTTGTGAAAATATCAATTTATTGCTGAATTAAAAGTGACCAAAACAACTCCATTCAAAAGGTTTGAACTGTATAATTTAGTTGTTCTTTTTTACTTTTCCAAATAAAAGTTTGCAACTATTCACTTTATTAAGGTTGGACCCATCTTTGGAAAAGGTGGGGGTCAGCAAGGGATTGGGGCTGAGGCTAAGAAGTAAGAAAGGGTGGCTTTGCAGAAAATGTAAGTAAGTAAGTAAAGTTTTATTTATATAGCGCCTTTCACAGAAATAAATTCACAAGGTGCTGTACATTCAGGGAAGGGGGGAGGGGGCAGTTAAGACAGGCCGGGTCCAACATGGGTAGGTGATGGGGTGGGAGCAAATCCAGCTCTTTATTGACATTTCATCCTGGGGAAATTAAGATAAGCACTGCCCTCAAGGCTGTGCCGCTGGGAGCCAGATAAAATAATCTACTTGTTTTGGAAACAAAGCAACCTTGAAATTCTTGCTGCTTTTGAAATGTCTTACTGCAAACTCTGAGGTGACGAAAAAAGCCAATCAGCCGAATTTGGGGTCTTCCTCACCTCTCACCGATTGAAGCTCACCCAGAATGTAGTCCATACAAGCCGAAGTGTCGCTCCTGAGTTGTGATCCTCATAATCACATCCAGTTTGCGAATTTGCCCCCCAGCTGAGAGTCTGTGTGCTTCCAACTGGCAGAAACCTTCAAGTGCACCCAACAGCCCTTTAAAAGGCCCGATCCAC